ATATGTGCATATACTGGTATATACTGGTATATATCAGAATTTATGAAGGGCACTGCTCACGTATTACTCCGGGCTATGCCTCGACATTATTGTGTCACATATATTCCACTTATGTAGATAAATTTGTACACTCATACGCCTCATATGTGCACGCAGGCAAGGATAATCAACTTGTACACATCGGCCTTTTTAAAATGCACATTTTATAAATTCATGACCTTTGCATTTATGTGAATCAGATTTCTGGGCTTACACGCCACGCAAATGTACAGAACTGTCGAACATACAGGCTTGCAGACGCATACAATACGAGAACATCAGATCGATCCTACCGCTCGCTGTGCGTTGTTTACCATACCTGAGATTGTAATGGCTGTTGTCCGTACGAGTCATAGGAATTCTCGGAACTTCTGCGTGAGCTCTCGGTTGCTGCAAATTAAGATGATTCCATATTCAGATATACCTTCACTTGCTTAAAAATAGTTTAAGAGACATCTTCTTGATACTATCAGTAGATGAATACACTAACCAAACACTATAGTCTAGTCGTCTGATGACTTAATCTGTTGGCATTATCACTGAGCGGTGAAATGTCTGTCAAGAACTCACCATCGCACCCCCACCCAGCCTATAATTATACGTATCAATCAAGGACAAAAACAGGCCGACTTCCAAGCAATTGCAAGCTGTGTATCTTCATCAAAGACAGCTCATGAACGCTTTGAGGTCCACCTTACTATCAGTCATCTTGGGAATGTGACATTATTGCAACTCAAGTGGAGAATGAACTGCGCATCACAAATTACAACCATAGCAGTCACACCAAAATCACTATGAGTACTCCTCTGTTCGTGCTGATTTGCAATACTACATCATAAAGCGCAAATGCACACTGAAGATGCTTCGCCAGGCTTGAATGTCGCATACCGAAAGTTTCCCCATGCTGGCTGTATGACACGTTCTGACTCGAATCACTTGACGATGCTGATGTGCTGGACAGTGTGCTATTCGTGTGAACACTTTGTTCGTCGTCAAGTCCCTCCGCGTTGTTGTCGGCTACGGCACTTAGCTGCTGCGCTGCAGCGTAACTTAACTCGTGTGCTGCGTAGTAGTCTTTGTCTTCGTTGCTACTGCTAGAACCCAGACTATCGCGGTCAAGATCCTTCATATCACCGTCCTTTTCTTTATCACTCATGTCTGTGGATCAACAATTCACGAATTAAACCGAGCCACATGTTTGACGGCCTGTTTCCCAATTGCAGCTAACGACGTACAAAAAGTGTACCATTGTTTGTTTCGTGGCTTATAGTGCACATGGATTGGGCCACTTTTCGTCAGCAACTCAATTTGAAATGCTATCTCAGTCGTTAAACAATGTGGCAGTACGAAGAGCTCAATTTGTGCGCAGGCCTGATATTCTGTATGGTACAAACGAATCTACAACAACCGTGTATATACATACCATCTGTGTGCCCGGCTGCCATCGTGGGAGTACCTTCCACTCTTTTAGGCTGTTCTTCATCTGTGTGACGGATATGGATATGATGATTGATTAATTAGTTGTAGTATGAATATGATATAGACAGTTTCATTGAGGTTTGAATTCAGACAGGACTACGATGAAGCTGCGACATATGTGTGCACTAGTGTACTGAGAGGTCATGCTAAACATTCATCTGTAAGTCTACATCCATGACCTCATACCTGCTTTGAACTCTGCCTTATATCCATACGGGTCAGTATCTGGGTATAGCAGTTCCTTGTGGTTGTTGGCATGTTTATTGAGTTTCTCTTCTGATAAGGCGATGGCACCGAATATCCAAAGAGTGGGCAGCATGCCAATCACTAACATAGTCAGTCCAACCCACAGGAAAGTAAGCGCGTTATTCATATCCTGCACACATACAGGGTACGAAGTGTTATAATGGGGTCGGATGTATAAGTGGTGTGGATTGGACACAATCAATATCTGATGGGCGAGTGTATCATTGAGGCTCATACTTAAAAGTATCAAAGCCCGGGAACGACTTCTATATGGGTCGGCTGCATTCAAATTCGAAACTTACGTGACACATGTCTCCGTACACTAGCTGACTGTACAGAGGATTGATCGTGCTGCATTGAGTGAAAAATCTGGCATCGTCGAGTAGCAGATATGTGGCATTGACCTCACGACGGATTCTGTGACGATACAATTTGGACAGTGATGGATGAGCAAAAGGTGAGTTATGAGATATATAACGCCGTGAAATGATACAACTTAAACACACACACACACACACACACACACACACACACACACACACACACACACACACACACAC